GCCGTTGACCCTCCAGCTGCCGGTCCCGTTGTCACTGACCCTTCAGCGGGGGCCCGGCGGTCCGCGACGCGGCCGTGGCTGGTCCGGTTGCCCCTGTGACCCCAGCTGTTGGCCCACTGGTGCCTGACCTTCCGGCTGGCGGCCCAGTTGTCCTGGAGCCCACGACAGGCGCAGCGGTGCTTCCTGATCCCTCAGCTGCTGGCCCTGTGGTCGCCGATACCCCGGCCCCTGGCCCTGTTGTCGCCTGTCGGCCAGCTGCTGCTCCAGTGGTTCCGGATCCTCCGGGTGATGGTCCAGGTGTCTCAGTCACTCCAGATGGTGGTCTGGCGGTCCCGGACACCTCAGACGATGGTCCGGTTGGTCCTGAGCTTCCAGCTGATGATCCAGTTGTCCCTGACCCTTGAGCTGGTGGGCCGGTTGCCCCTGATACCACGACAGGTGGTGCACTGCTCTCCGACCCTACCGAAGACGGCCCGCTGGTCCCTGGCGCGCCGGCTGATGACCCAGTGGTCGCTGATCCTTCCGCTGAGGCTCCACTTGTGGCTAACCCGGTTGTCCCTGTGGCTCCAGGCAATGTGCCACTTGTCCCTGATCCTTGAGCTGCCGCTCCAGTGGTCCCGGGGCCCCCGGTGGACAGTCCTCTTGCCCCTGACACCTCAGCCGAGGGTCCCGTGGTCCCTGATCCTCCCGGTGCTGGTCCGCTCGCCACGGTGACTCCAGCTGTTGGCCCACTGGTTCCTGAACTTCCAGCTGCTGCTGCCGTTGACTCCCTCGGGCCTGAAGACGACGGCCCCGTGGTCGCGGATCCCTGTGCCGACGGTCCGCTTGTTCCTGACCCTCCTGGGGCTGGTCGGGTGGTTGCTGACGCTTCCGCTGATGGTCCTGGGCTCCGTGGTGCTCCACTTGCTGCTCCCCTCGACCCCGTGACTTCCGCTGCGGGTCCGGTTGTCCCTGACCCTACCGCAGATGATCCAGTCGTCTCCGGGCCTCCGCCGGGCTGTCCCGTGGTCCCTGATGCTCCCGCTGGTGACCCGCTTGTCCCTGATCCCTCAGCTGATACCCGAGTTGCTCCTGATCCTCCTGGTGACGACGGGCCAGCTGTCCCTGTCAACCCAGGCGACGGTCCAGGCGTCCTCGAGCCCTCAGCTGAGACTCCAGTTGTCCCTGACCCTTCACCTGAAGCTCCAGTTGTCCCTGTTCCCACCGCAGCCGAGCCAGTCGCCTCGGACCCGACGACAGATGGGCCACCGGTGCCCGTTACTCTGGCTCTTGGCCCAGGAGTCTCTGACGCTCCGGCTGACGGCCTTGAGGTCCCGGGCCCTCCGGTTGCCGGTCCCGTAGCCCCTGTGTCTCCAGCGGATGGCCGCGTTGCTTCGGACCTTCCAGCCGACGACGCGGTTGTCCCCGGCCTTGCCTCTGACGGTCCGGTCGTCCCGGACCCTCCAACGGAGGCTCCAGGGGTCCCTGAGCCCACAGCAGATGGCCCAGTGGTCGCTGATCCTAGCACAGGTGGCCCAGTGGAACCTGCCCCTCCGGCTGCTTGGCCAGTTGTCCCTGGCGCTTCAGCTGATGGGGCTGCGGTCCCTGATACGCCACCTGCTGGCCCTGTGGTCCCCAATCGCCCCGCCGAGGTTCCAGGCGCTCCCGATGCGGGGGCTGATGGTCCAGCTGTCGGGGACTCTCCCACCGGTGGTCCAGTTGTCCTTGACCCTACAACGGATGGTCCGGTGGTCCCTGGCCCCGCAACGGTCGGCCCGGTGGAACCTGCCACTCTGCCTGATGGTCCAGTGGCCGTTGACCCTCCAGCTGCCGGTCCCGTTGTCACTGACCCTTCAGCGGGTGGCCCGGCGGTCCGCGACGCGGCCGTGGCTGGTCCGGTTGCCCCTGTGACCCCAGCTGTTGGCCCACTGGTGCCTGACCTTCCGGCTGGCGGCCCAGTTGTCCTGGAGCCCACGACAGGCGCAGCGGTGCTTCCTGATCCCTCAGCTGCTGGCCCTGTGGTCGCCGATACCCCGGCCCCTGGCCCTGTTGTCGCCCGTCGGCCAGCTGCTGCTCCAGTGGTTCCGGATCCTCCGGGTGATGGTCCAGGTGTCTCAGTCACTCCAGATGGTGGTCTGGCGGTCCCGGACACCTCAGACGATGGTCCGGTTGGTCCTGAGCTTCCAGCTGATGATCCAGTTGTCCCTGACCCTTGAGCTGGTGGGCCGGTTGCCCCTGATACCACGACAGGTGGTGCACTGCTCTCCGACCCTACCGAAGACGGCCCGCTGGTCCCTGGCGCGCCGGCTGATGACCCAGTGGTCGCTGATCCTTCCGCTGAGGCTCCACTTGTGGCTAACCCGGTTGTCCCTGTGGCTCCAGGCAATGTGCCACTTGTCCCTGATCCTTGAGCTGCCGCTCCAGTGGTCCCGGGGCCCCCGGTGGACAGTCCTCTTGCCCCTGACACCTCAGCCGAGGGTCCCGTGGTCCCTGATCCTCCCGGTGCTGGTCCGCTCGCCACGGTGACTCCAGCTGTTGGCCCACTGGTTCCTGAACTTCCAGCTGCTGCTGCCGTTGACTCCCTCGGGCCTGAAGACGACGGCCCCGTGGTCGCGGATCCCTGTGCCGACGGTCCGCTTGTTCCTGACCCTCCTGGGGCTGGTCGGGTGGTTGCTGACGCTTCCGCTGATGGTCCTGGGCTCCGTGGTGCTCCACTTGCTGCTCCCCTCGACCCCGTGACTTCCGCTGCGGGTCCGGTTGTCCCTGACCCTACCGCAGATGATCCAGTCGTCTCCGGGCCTCCGCCGGGCTGTCCCGTGGTCCCTGATGCTCCCGCTGGTGACCCGCTTGTCCCTGATCCCTCAGCTGATACCCGAGTTGCTCCTGATCCTCCTGGTGACGACGGGCCAGCTGTCCCTGTCAACCCAGGCGACGGTCCAGGCGTCCTCGAGCCCTCAGCTGAGACTCCAGTTGTCCCTGACCCTTCACCTGAAGCTCCAGTTGTCCCTGTTCCCACCGCAGCCGAGCCAGTCGCCTCGGACCCGACGACAGATGGGCCACCGGTGCCCGTTACTCTGGCTCTTGGCCCAGGAGTCTCTGACGCTCCGGCTGACGGCCTTGAGGTCCCGGGCCCTCCGGTTGCCGGTCCCGTAGCCCCTGTGTCTCCAGCGGATGGCCGCGTTGCTTCGGACCTTCCAGCCGACGACGCGGTTGTCCCCGGCCTTGCCTCTGACGGTCCGGTCGTCCCGGACCCTCCAACGGAGGCTCCAGGGGTCCCTGAGCCCACAGCAGATGGCCCAGTGGTCGCTGATCCTAGCACAGGTGGCCCAGTGGAACCTGCCCCTCCGGCTGCTTGGCCAGTTGTCCCTGGCGCTTCAGCTGATGGGGCTGCGGTCCCTGATACGCCACCTGCTGGCCCTGTGGTCCCCAATCGCCCCGCTGAGGTTCCAGGCGCTCCCGATGCGGGGGCTGATGGTCCAGCTGTCGGGGACTCTCCCACCGGTGGTCCAGTTGTCCTTGACCCTACAACGGATGGTCCGGTGGTCCCTGGCCCCGCAACGGTCGGCCCGGTGGAACCTGCCACTCTGCCTGATGGTCCAGTGGCCGTTGACCCTCCAGCTGCCGGTCCCGTTGTCACTGACCCTTCAGCGGGTGGCCCGGCGGTCCGCGACGCGCCCGTGGCTGGTCCGGTTGCCCCTGTGACCCCAGCTGTTGGCCCACTGGTGCCTGACCTTCCGGCTGGCGGCCCAGTTGTCCTGGAGCCCACGACAGGCGCAGCGGTGCTTCCTGATCCCTCAGCTGCTGGCCCTGTGGTCGCCGATACCCCGGCCCCTGGCCCTGTTGTCGCCCGTCGGCCAGCTGCTGCTCCAGTGGTTCCGGATCCTCCGGGTGATGGTCCAGGTGTCTCAGTCACTCCAGATGGTGGTCTGGCGGTCCCGGACACCTCAGACGATGGTCCGGTTGGTCCTGAGCTTCCAGCTGATGATCCAGTTGTCCCTGACCCTTGAGCTGGTGGGCCGGTTGCCCCTGATACCACGACAGGTGGTGCACTGCTCTCCGACCCTACCGAAGACGGCCCGCTGGTCCCTGGCGCGCCGGCTGATGACCCAGTGGTCGCTGATCCTTCCGCTGAGGCTCCACTTGTGGCTAACCCGGTTGTCCCTGTGGCTCCAGGCAATGTGCCACTTGTCCCTGATCCTTGAGCTGCCGCTCCAGTGGTCCCGGGGCCCCCGGTGGACAGTCCTCTTGCCCCTGACACCTCAGCCGAGGGTCCCGTGGTCCCTGATCCTCCCGGTGCTGGTCCGCTCGCCACGGTGACTCCAGCTGTTGGCCCACTGGTTCCTGAACTTCCAGCTGCTGCTGCCGTTGACTCCCTCGGGCCAGAAGACGACGGCCCTGTGGTTGCGTATCCTCCAATGGTTTGCCTAGTTTTTCCTGTCAATACATTTTGTGCAAATATTATTTAATTTCATTGCAACCTTATCCTGCTTTGCCTTAAAGGCTAATGCTGCTTTACTCCTCTCCTGTATCTTTCATGCCTCTTCGTACCTACTGCGATTGCCAAATTTCACCCCCTTTTCATTCTTTTACAGGAGTAGTTCTTCCCTAATTTTTCATCATTCATCATTTAATTTTTAATATCTGTATTTGTTTTAAGTTCTCATCCACTTGTCACTATTATCACTTTTTCCGTTCACAACAACACTCTCACGTATATAGCGTTGCTTTCCCTTTTTTATATAGGAGAAACTAACCCAGATTTTTAGATTACAGTAGTTCTTCTTTATCCTCAGATTATACGTTGCAAGAATCCCACGGATGCCTGAAAGTATGAATAGCTCCCAACTGTATATATAGTATATTTTTTCCTATATATACATTCCTATATTAATGTTTAATGTCTGAATTATTTCTAGTCAGATATTCACGACTATAACTAATAACAAAATAGAACATATATACCATATACTCTAATAAAATTTATGCAACTGTGTTCTCTCTCAAAATATCTTCTTCTACCAATTTAGTACCTTTTCCATCTTACTTAAGAACCTATCATGCACGGACATAACTTTTGTGGTTTGAGCAAAACCCCAGCAAATGACAGCAAACTTAGCTCAAATTTCTTTTTCCTTATTCACAGTTTCAAATATACGAGATTCGTTCTTTACCATAGATCTTAGCAACCTTAGCATATGATTTTTTCCTTTTCTTATTAAGTTGAGAAATTGTACCTTTTCACTCTAAAGGAAGCACTTTATGGCCTGTCTTTAGCATATCTGAATTGCCAGCATCACTGCTCTCTCGCTTTTGGGCCATTATTAAGTAAAATAATGGTTACTCGATCACAAGCACTGTGATACTGTAACAGTTTATCTCATTACCCAGATGGCTACTAAGTGACTAATGAACGGGTAGGGTATACAGTGTGGATACACTGGACCAAGGGATGATTCACATCCCAGACATGACAGAGTGGGACAGCACAAGATTTCATCACACTACTTGGAACAACACACAATTTAAAACGTATGAATTTTTGCTTTCTAGAATTTTCCATTTAATACTTTTGGACCACACTTGGCCACAGGTAACTGAAACCATGAAAAGCATAACTGTGAATACAGGGAGACTACTGTGGTTTTTCTAAGATCATGTAGCTAGTAAGTAGATAGTTCTCTGTTTCCACAGAACATTCTTGTTGGATGTGAGCGACAAGCAGACATATAAATTAAATTACTATCCAAACAAACAAACAAATTCACAAACAAGAAAAGCATCAGAGCACTAACATAAAGTGAGGTGATATGGAGAAACTGGGATTCTATTTTAGACTGCCTGGTTAGCAGAGGCATCTCTGAAAAGATGTCATTTATTTCAAGATCTGACAATGAGAAGCAGACAACAATGTGAAACTCTGGGGAAATATCATTCCAGGCAGTGGGAATAGCCGCTGCAAAAGCCTTAAGGCTAAAATGAGCTAAATGTGCTAGAGAAGCAGAATTATAAGGTAAATGTATATGGATCATGGGAGATTAGGGGAATAACATTAGAAGATGCAGACAAAAACATAGGATTGGGCTAGTTACTGTGAATCAGGGGAGGGAAGTTGCACATTTTTCTAAATGCAATGGAATATAATTTTATGCAGGGGAATGATACAGTAGTCCTGCCTAATTCATGGTTTCACTTTCCAGGATTTCAGTTACCAACATTGAACTGTGCTCCAAAAATATTAAATGAAAAATTTCAGAAATATGGAACTCCTAAGTTTTAAATGGCTCGCTGTTCTGAGTAGCGTGATGAAATCTCACACCATCCTGCTCTGTCCGTCCAGGATATGAATCATCCCTTTGTGCAGCATATCCATGCTGTGGACTTTACCCGCCCATTAGTCACTTAGTAGCTGTCTCCATTATCAGATGACTGTGGTGGTATCAGAGTGCTTTTGTTCAAGAAACCTTTATTTTACTTAATAATGGTCTCGAAGTACAAAGGTGGTGATGCTGGCAATTCGGATATGCCAAAGAGAAGCCAGAAAATGCTTCCTTTAAGTGAAAAGGTGAAAGTTCTAGACTTAATAAGGAAAGAAAAAAACTGTATGCTGAGGTTGCTAAAATCTACAGTAACTTTTATTACAGTATATTGTTATAATTGTTCTATTTTATTATTATTGTGTTTCATCTCTTACTGTGCTTAATTTATAAATTAAATTTATAATTTAAGGTACGGATGTATAGGAAAAAACAGTATAGAGATTGCAGTACTATCCGCAGTTTCAGGCATCCCTGGGGGTCTTGGAATGTATCCCCCATGGATAAGGGCGTACAACTATAGATTTATATATACTGAAAATCCCTCTTTCCACTCTGTTTCCTCTTTCATCTGTGGCATTCTAAACCCATGATGGGTGTTGTCTCTTTTATTCTAAGCTCCGACTTCTTCCACAGCCCATTTGCTGTCACAATTATTTCTACCCTGTCCTCTGGAATCCACAATTAGTGATTTAAAAAATCTCTTCTATATGCTTAACAGCTTTACAGTTAAAATGCTTCTGACTCTTCCTGGCCTTACCCTAATGGGACTAATTCTGCAACAACCTAGCATAACCCAGAATGCTCTAGATCTGAGAGCCTAACATCAAGAATTCTACTAAGAGACCAACTGAGGATGGAAACCTTGGATTTGTAGAGATATGGATCTTCATAGTGGTGTGTGTGAGGATGCGTGTATGTTTCCAGCAAAGCTCCCTTACTTGGGTATAACAGCAAATAGCCTACTCCCTCCCACATCTCCAATCTTTCCAGAAGGTTCTCTTTCACACAGCCTGTTATTTTTATTTCATTGATAAGACTAAAACCCCTTGATCTTTTACCAGACTGGAAGCTCCTATTCATTTGTTTACTTATTTACCAGATATCCACCAGATATTTATCAATCAGGCACTAAGCTAGGCACTGGGAACACAATTGTAAACTAAAACGGGCAAGGTGATAAGATCTTTCTCTGATTTTGACAGAAATCCACCATATTGGTGGCCTGTCTAGTAATGGAGAATGACTGGATGAAGTATCAACAATCTAGGCCCTGTTCTGGCCCCACAACATACTTATCCTGGGACGGGAGTAACCACATTGACTTTTCATATATAGAATACAAATAATTACTAGTATACTGTCAGTTGCACAGGATGGTTATATGATTCAAGTAAGTAAATATATGTGAAAACATTTTGTCCATTTTACACTTAGGGGACATTCTTCTGATAATCATTTTTATTTTTGCTAATACAGATGAAGATGACTCACAAATGATGTTATACAATGGCTAATGACCGCCTTATGTTTATTTTATCAACTTAACAAGTTGTACACAATATATCCAGTAAAAACCAAGGTATAAACACAGTATTATTGTATTCTACCAATTATATTTTTAAGCACTTTTTTTGCCCATTTTCTGAGAAATATTTACCAATCCAATTTATTTATTTAACTTATTTACTCATTTATTTATTTATAGTCTATATCTTTAGTCCTTTGAAACAAGTTAAGCATTATGAGACATAAACATTGTTTAGTCAGGGGTGGTGACATCCATTACATAGTTCACATATTTCCCCAAGTGAGCTTTGAGCAAATGAGGTATAGTCACATTTGATTTGCAAATTCTAGAAAAGAAGACTTTTTAAACCAGTGGGTACAGATTTTAGAGAGCAAACTGTATTCTGAATTTTTAGACAATTCAGAAGGCTATGTTATTTATTAAATTATTCTCAGAAATGGGGAAAGCTGTTTTCATTCAAGGTTCTAAATCACTTCTCTGTTCAATAAAGAACTTAGGAAAAATATGTTAATATTTTCAACCATGACATTTTCTAATACTAAATAACCATGAAAATTTTCCAATACTAAAGATAGTGGGTGTTTTGCAAGAGATTGCAAAAAGGAAAATTCTAACTTTAAATTTGAATATCTTTGCTGATGCCCAATAATCTTTTAATATCCAGCAGCCTATTATTCAAGAAAGAAAAGAATTTATTGACCTTAAATATTTCTTTTATAGAAAAATCATATTATCCATCAATTAAATTCAAAAATAGTCAACATATTGTAACTATTCAGTACTTTCAATCATATTGATTTTTGCTTGTTGTCTAAGTGATTTTGTGTAGAACAATGCAGACCTTAAAGAAGGAAATGTAATCAACTGGATGAGCAAATATATCCTGAGAAGTCACTAACTCAAAAACAACATTTAAGGACCAAATATAAGATGAAATGCTAGATGGTCATTATTACTTTTTTACCTAACTCCAATATGGTTGTATCAAGCAACATTCCAGTGATTTCCAAATTGGCCATACAAGAATATTAGATTTAAAATGTTGTATTAGACTTGCTTAGTAATGGAGAATACCCAAACTGGTGGGTCACTGTCATTATCTGTGACATCGTGTGTGGCACTAATACCCCAATCGTGCATAAATACTAAATACAAAATGAAGAATGTAATGGCACTCTTTCTAATTGATTCACATCCTATTTGAAGTGCAGGGCTCTGATTTTCAAGCAGGAAAGACTATCAGCTAAATGAATATTTTACTGAATAGCATTTTATAAACAAGTTTTTGATATAAATACCGATTGAGATTTTTGTGACCTTTTTGTGTTTAGCTAATCTCACCTGGCTTATTTGAAGAGCTTTTAGCACTGCTGCTGGGGCCATTTCTTAGTGCTCATTTTTTGACTCTTTAATAAACTTAAGTTTCTCTTATTTGGTTCATGAGCTTTAAATAATTTGTTTGACGAATACTACCTATTACCTAATCCATAGGCTTATCTCATCTTCCTTCTCATTCCTATCTATCTGTCCATTTATTGATGTGATATTTTTACTCGGTCAAATATGTATATATTATTCCTTCACCTTTCTTTCAACCTTTGTTCTAGTTTTAGAGCTACAGTTAATAATAGTCAGTGCTACCACGTTTTTGTTCATTTTCAAAGCATCTCTTTGTTGCTTAACACTCATCCTCTAGTGATTTTATAATGAAGGTCTCATGGGAACATAATTTCCTAAACTCTTTCATGTTTTAAACTATTTCCTATAGCCTTGATACTCAAATTACATGGAACTGTATAGAAAACCCTTGGCCCACATTTTCCTTCCTTGAGTATCTCATAAATGCTACTCTATTCTTGACAAATCTGATGCTTCTCTGTTTCCTCTAAACACTTGAGGTGTGGGCACTGTGTTGATATTTATGGTTTCTAGAAGGAGGTATGTGTAGATTCTAATGTATGCAGCCACCATTTTCCTGGTTCTCTTTTTTTTTTAATTTTCCGTTGGTTCCTTGAGCATAAATGTTACTCAATTATACGAGCATCTATACAAACTAAAGATCAGGTTCTTAGTCCAGATAACACCCTAGTGAGGGACGTATGGTTGGGAACAGCTGAAAAGTCAGGTCCAGACTTGTCTGACTTACCAGAACTTGTCGTTCCAATGCCTGGTTCCCCAGGGGTGCTACCACCTCCAGCTCCAGGCGATACCCCAGGAGTGGCTTAATTTTACAATAGAAAAAAAAAAGTTAGCTAATTAAAATATAAAATTGATCATCTAATGAAGATGGCCTGTGTAAAGACAATTAAAAACTTAAAATAAGAGGATAATTCTCTCTGTTGAAAATAAGGAAACAGACTTCCCCCTTCCTTTTCTTAGAGTACTTACTTCAGAAAATTTGTAATTTAAGTTCTTTCTCTGTGTCTTTGAAATATATGTAAATCTTTTTTAAAAACTAAATAGGCCTCTTGCGAGCTTAATAACCCAGGAATGTCTTTCTCAAGCACCTGGGCACTATCTCTGTGAAATGTCAACATCAAGGGAGATAGCACCCCTATGTCCCTCTAGTTACAAGGCTTCCTCCTGTCATCAAAATAGAAGTTTATTTTTCCTTTGTATAAAACCAATTAACTAACCAGATGGTCACCCCAATTACCAGGTGAATTTAGGATAAACTATGTGTAACAAATAGTACTGTTAAGTCTTCTCACTTGAAGACTAGTTATTTTCCATAAGAACGTGTACATAATGGGCTGTGTCTGCTTGGTGAGATTTCTTTCTGTCTCTACAATTGCTTAGCAAATTGCTTGTGGTTCACATCACATTCTGGTTTAATGTGTGGGGGTTCAGAATTGTCCACCTCAAAATATGTCTCTTTGCCTTGATTATTTTTAAGAATGAAAGACTCTGAAAGAAACTTTGACCTTCCCCCTAACTGCCTAAAAGAATTTAAGATAAAATGCCTGTTCCCAAGACAGGCCATCACCATAGATAATTCTGGGATCAGTAAACTGTGAGAGTCCTTGCTAAGCACATTCTTATCAAAGTTCTGTTTACCAGAATTTGCTTTCCATTTCCACGTGAATTGTCTTCCTCCCCTTTGAAGTCTCAAACCACTAACCCCAACATCCTCCTTTGTCTTTAGCTAAAGATGCTATTTAAGGTGACAATTTTGGCCATTCTAGCACATTACTCAGCTTTCCTGGGTTTCTCCCATGTATATATGTTATAAAGCTTTGTTTGATTTTCTCCTGTTATTCTGTCTCATGTCTATTTAATTCATAGCCTAGCTAGAAGAACCTAGACTGGGTAGAGGAATTTTTTCCTCCCCCAAAAATGCATACTCTATAATAAAACTATTTTCTTTCTCTACTGTCTCTGTAGACAGGGTCTCCAGGTTGGGAGAAGAGTCTGTTCTCAATTCTATTTCCCCAACACTTGAAATATGCCTGTTCTTTATGCCTGTGAAATTTCACTCAGCTTACTTATCTTTTGAGTTTTTGCTCAAGTTAAAGCATATAGATACAGTCACAGTGCACTGATCATAAAATATTCTTTCCAAATAGAATAATTCTGTTGTTTTTAACCCCAACTAATCAGTTCTCTTACTAGAATTTCCTCAAGTTTCAATTCCAACACTTGTCACTGAAGATTTCCTTGACTTTGATTATCTTCTGCCTTGCACAGTTTTTACTTTTGCAAGTATATAAATATTCATTTCTCCTGCTCAAAAATCAAGTTCTAAGAGAACAACTACCTTACTCCACCGCTCTCCTATGTTCTCTAGAGTACCCAGGATGATGTGACGCACACAATAAATAGCTCTTGATCTATTTCTGATCTTCAGTTTTGACATATACAAATAATAATAATTAGATTCCCCAGGAAAGCTACCCTCTGAAAAAATTTTAAGAAACCATATTTGTGATTTTTTTTAAGTAAAGTACAATTTTAAATTTACAAGTTTAAGTAAAGAAATCACAGTGTCTGGATTTATTCTGATTATGTTCTTTCAATACCTGAGACTCCAGAAGTGTTTTCCCCAGCAGCTCCAGTGGTGGCCGCATTTTCCCCTTCAGTTGTTCCTAATTGAAAAGAACAATGGTGCTTGGTCTATATCGGGGTTGCCAGATTTAGCAAATAAAAATACAAGACACTCATTTGCAATACAGGACAGATTTAATTTAATTTAATTCCAGATAAACAACAACCACATCCAGATTATTGCATGGGACATACTGATAATAAAAAATTATTCCTTATTTATGTGAAATTCAAATTTAAATCACATTCTGCATTTTATCTAGCAACTCTGTCTTTATACATGGTTGTGTGAAAATGCTCAAACTACCCACATTCATTTGTCTTAAAATTACAGCCATTAAAGTCACAGCCATTGCTAAATTCACTTAAACTCCTCATAAGAATGTGGGGTCTCATCTAAGCTTGTGACAGAGCACCACCAAAGTGCCCTGGTGAGCCTGTGCCTCGCCTGCCGAGCTCCCAGCTGGGTTGGAACCAGTGAAAGGTGGTCTGCGATGCCACCGCCACTTCTAGTGGTAGTTCCAACAGACTCTCCTGTTACAACTGATACACACAGTATTGGGAGAGCATACACATTATTGTGACAATCCAGTACCGTAGTGTTTTGAAGGGAAGATTTCGAAAAAACAGAAAAACTGACTTGTCATTATTACCCAAATAATTCTAACTCACATTTCACAAAATATAAACTAAATGGTCATCAGCCTAAAATTTCAGTCAGTTTCCTGATCTAACTGGAATTAACTAGTTTCTTAATTTGTGCTGCTGCAGATTATATCTTTGAACACATTATTTTTTACGTAAACCATCTCTTATTCCAAAAAGTATTTAAGACATACATTTTAAATCAAGGAATTTGCAAGCCAGCGATGCTGGTCTAGTGGCTAAGATTTGGCACTCTCACCACCATGGCCTGGGTTCATTTCTGGGTCATGGAACCAGACCACTTATCTGTCAGTTGCCATAGCATAGCAGCAGCTCACATAGAGAACTAAACTAACAACTAGGATCCACAACTATGCACTGAAGCATTGTCTAAAGCTGTACTGAGGGTGGAGTTCTTCCTGGCTTGGAATGGAGGACTCCTTGTAGAAAGAAGCCATGGAAAACACAGCGCGAGACTCATTTCTTTGTCTCACCTGTTCTGAAGCCTGTGTCACTTGTGCTTCCATTTTCAGCTCTTGTGGTTGCACTTGCTGATACTCCAGTTGTCCCTGAGGAAGGTAAAGAAACAACAAACCCTTGCTAAAAAAAGTGCAGGAGCACTACCAACTCTCAAGGTAATGGGTGTATGTAATCCTAACACCATGACACTTTAAGAGAGCAACCCATGAAAAAACTAAAGATTCTACCTTCTAGCTACATACAAGGAATACCTAAGTCTGAGATTACACTGAAGTCTGATATTTTTATTTGGTAAAATGTTATACTGAGTGGCACTGCCTGAAACCAGTTGCTTAGCTGTGGCTGGCGTGCTTTGTTCTGAACTTAATTTACCTGCTAGGAGGCCAGGACTTGAGAAGGTGGGGCCCTCTACTCCTGTCGTGCCTGCTCTTCCAGCTGTTGAGGTGATGGGAACTGGAGTTCCAGTAATGCCTGTGAAAAACATAGAATGAACTTCTCATCTAAAATATGCTTGGACTTTATTAACAACGGGTGATTTAACTATTCAAACAGTTTCTACTAAAGAAAATAAAATAATAAATCCAGTGACTTTCTGCCCAGAGTTCCCTAAGATTTTTGTTCTAATGTTATTCTAATATTATTTTCCTTTAAAATTTTGGTGTAGTCCTTGCTACTTTTTTTTTTTTAGTAAAGTCATGTTCTCTGCATCTTGAATCAGGCCACACAAGGTCTTTGTAGATTTTTCTCAACAAGGTTGCTTTCAGATAAACAGAGCTTTATGCCCTAATCACACTGTCACTCAGGGCTGATAATAACAAAGATAAAATGTCATGGGGAAATAGCTAATTGAAACTTTTACACCTAAAACAGCAAAATATGTCATTAGATATGCACATTTTCTCTCAACCTGTGTTCTTTTTAAAAATTTTGAGTTTTATATAATTTAGTATTGTTGTTGATGCTATACTAAGATTTAATGATTAGAAAGAAAATGAAACTGGAAACTATATTATAGCTTATTAATATAAACTGCTCAAACACAAATTAAATTCAGTTTTTAAAAAAGTTCAAAACCAGTGAGAAAACCCTAGTAAAATACTTATTTTAAATATTTTTTCAAAAGCCAAACTCTCATATAAATTCTTTCTCAAAAACCCAAAGTCACTAATAATTTATACTGTTAGATATTTTTTATCTCACATATAAAAGCAGGAATTAATACACTGACCTGTAGTAAAAGGTTCGCTGATAATACTCAGAGTTGTCCCTGATAACAAAAAGAGAAATGTAAATTTTTCTGACTTCCAGGGAAGATACTAGAAAGATTACTCACTTGTTTGTTTTCAATATATGTGGTTTGCAATATATTTAGTGTTGAGAATTAATAATAAACTATTTCATTTTTAAAATAGTGACATTATAATGTATTTCCTATACTATACTATACAATGTATAGTATACACACACATATATGCCGAATTCTACTAAATACAGAGTAAATGGAATAAATATATATCAACAATGACAAAGTTAATTCTCTGTTAGGTGAAGGCTGACTTTTCAATTTGTGATTTCTTTGACTTCATTCTATTTCTAGTTGTCTGTGGCCTGGATGTTTTTCTACTAAGTAGCAGTTACTCCAAAAGGGTTTGGGGTGGTGAGAAGGAGAAATACTTTTCAGGATTTATTTTTATGATTTAATACAGCAGGTATGTGGAGATAAATTTGAAGTTACCAGTAAACTCCCAAAGGAAGAGGATATGGTTTTTGTTGTTAATTTGCTCTTATATTTATTTGTTATTTTTAAATATACTTTTCCAGTTTTATTGAGAAATAATTGACAATACATCACTGGATAAGTTTAAGGCATATAGCATGATAGTTTGATTTACATATATTGGAAAATGATTACCACAATAGGTTCAGCTAACCTCCGTCCTCTCATAGAGATACAATAAAAAGAATAGAAAGGAAAAAAGAAAAAAGGAAAAAAAGTTTTCTCCTTGGGAGGAGAACTCTTGGTCTCTTAACAGCTTTCCTATATATCGTACAGCAGTGTTAGCTATAGTCATCATGTTGTACATTACGTCCTTAGTACTTATTTATCTTATAACTGGAAGTTGGTACCTTTTGACCTTCTTCCTCCAACTCCCTGCCCCTCCACCTTCCACCTCTAGTAACCACAAGTCTGATCACCTTTTCTATGAGTTTGGTGGGGGTCTTTTGGGATTTTTTTCTTTTTTTTAGATTCCCCATATAAGTGAGATCATACGGTATTTGTTTTCTTCTGTCTGACATATTTCACTAGCGTAACGCCTTCAATGTCCATCCATATTGTCACAAATGGTCGGATTTCCTCATTTTTTATGGCTGAATAATATTCCATTGTATTTATACACCACAACTTTTTTATCCATTCATCCATCGATGGACACTTAGGTTGTTTCCATGTCTCGGCTATTTTAAATAATGCAGCTATGAACATGGGGGTGCAGGCATCCTTTTGAGTTAGTGTTTTCATTTCCTTTGGATATATTTCCAGAAGTTTGTGAAGATAAATTGAGTTACCAGCAAACTCCTGAAGGAAGAGGCAGTGTGTTTTCTTTGCATTCCAATGCCTGCCCCCTTGCCAGGAATATGGCAGGAGTTTATTAAATGTTTGGTGAGGGGCACTGTGGACCTAAAAATGAGCCTTTATTAACTTCTGGTTTTCATAAATAATGAAGAGTCAGGCATTTTCTGTATTTCAGTATTAATTTCTATTGGAAATCTATTGTTTATGAGGTAATGTCACATTACAATTTTATAGCGTTTTGCAACTTAAAAAAGAAACTTCTCAAACAATCTCGCTATTTGATCCTCACTTTTTGTCCAGCCACACTGGCCTTCTTCCATTCTTTAACACCTGCTGTTTGTAGTTTCCTGTCTTTGGAAATGGTCCCTCTTGTCCTAGTTAAACCTTCATTGGTCAGTTCTCAGCTCAATCACCTTTACTTCAGCCTTTCCTGACCATCTTGACTATCAAATTCCCCCTCCACCCACCCCACTCCCATTTTAAGTACTTCATAGTTCTTGTCCTTGCTGCTAGTTTCCATTTGTTTTTGTAATCACTTGATTGATATCCATCTTCCTGACTAGACTATAGGCTCCAGGAAGCCAGGGATTATGTCTATTTTAACTCACTTTTATATCTCTCATGATAGCAGAGTGCCTAGTACATAATAGGTGCTTGATAATTATTTGTCAGTTGAATGAATGAATAAATGAATGAATGGAGTGAAAGTCTTATATGTATTCTGCATATAAAGAATTGGGTTCAGAAAAGTCAAGTGATTTGTTCACAATCACTGCTGTCAGTGACAAAGCTGGGACTACACTAAGTCACCCAGTACCTATGATAGTGACCTGTATTGCTTTTTATGTAATGTTGCCTTTCTATATAATATACCACCTCCTGTAGTTTTTAAGCTTTTTTATTTCCCATTCATTGTAGTAATGAAAATATTAGACATTATACTAGAAATTATAGAATATAATATCAAATAAATAATAATCTGTCTCCCCTGATTACTTCACAAATGGATATATTATAAGTATGTTAAATAGCCTGAGACGACAGGTTTATGTGAGAATTCTCAAAATTAGCGTCAAGCATTAGCTGAGAAGAATTCTCAAATCAGTATCAAGCAGATTCCACCAGCAGACCACCTCAGATCTTAATAGCTTTTCTCACTAACGAACACAATAATTAGACATTAGAATTAAAATGTCCTGCTGATCTGGATTCAAGAATAGCATAGAAAGGCTATTATGCCATTTTTCCACAGAGACTATCAAGATTATAATGATGTAGCAGGATAGACCTCGATACTCCAAAAGATTTTGGAGCAGATTCCATTTCTCAGTATAGATTTATCCTTTAAGGAATTCCAATGATCCTCGTGTGAGCTCCTTCAAACTGAGGATAATTACATTTAATTAAAAGCAGCAATATCACATGTAGTAGAATCAAATCTTCTCCAAAATCTCCATATCTGAATATACTCTCATCAGCATGGAGTTAAGGGGAACACAGTGGTACACCATAGATGGCAGTGCACAGATGGCAAATATTTTTAGCATTTGCATGAGAGAACACATTTATAGGCCTTTCCTTGTAATTGGTCTGGCTAACATGGCAACATGTTCCAAAGTGGATCTCAGGGACCCATCTTTCATCAGGGCTGTAAAAGTTATCTAAACTAGTCACAGATTGGATTACATACCAGTCAAACTACTATGATATAGCTCCCTTTTCCCACGAATGAACTTCAGAGGATATAAGTGCAAAGTTGTTGATACAGCAAGAAAAGAAGGGATAAGCCTTTACTAACAGGAATATGTGAGAATCCACTTTTCTTCATGGTGTAATTACCAAAACTGATACATAAAGCATTACCATTCTCAATAATTGTGACATCCATAACCATTACAATTTCTACTGATTTTTCCATTACTTGCAAATGAACAGACAAGTTAAAGTAATTGATATTGTGAGTTATTGTAGATCAGCTTTCTCGTTGCCAAAACATAAGTGGTAATAGGAAGAGCTGCCTTTACTAAAATATTGATAGCTCTGTGCATTACAAGGTAGTAATCCACCCTGAAAATTTTCAAAGTGATTGTGTCCATTCATTTTCACCTCATGCTAAACTTAACAATTAAAATAAAATCTTGCAATTAATTTTCCAGCTACCACTAAGTTTTTTTGATTACTTTTAAGAATAATTTTAATTTTTATAAAACGTTATTTTGCCATTTTCCTTCAATGGACTCCATTTTATTTAATATAAATGTCTGAAAGATAGGCTTAAGGAGTATCCATAACTTTTTCCCCAATAAACAATTTGATATGGCAAATTTTATAGTTTTTGCAACATACCTTATTTCTGAAAAAAATCAAAAATGCGTAAAACTGGTTTTAATTCGGGAAGAAGTGTGTTTCTGATTAATCACTGAAAAACACTAAACTCCTCTGCTAAAATCTAAGTTCATTTATATAACGAGTTATTCTTTAGAAAAATGTTACTAGTAATAAATTTGAGTTTTCTGAGTACTCACTATATATTCTGCTAAGCTGTACTCTCATATTTACTCCTTTCTCAAGTCTGTAACATAGATATTATTTTTCCCACCTAACAAATGAGAAAACTAATGTTCAGGGTGTTTGAGGGACTTAAACTAAGGTCATTAGGCTAGCAGTAGAAGAGAAGGGATTCAAATTCTTATTTTCTGTTTCCACTTCCCACTACAGTCATCTGGCTCTCTATAATAGCCTGATGCGATTATTTTCTTTCTATGATTGATGCTATCTTAGAATAAGCACCTTATACAAATAAAATTTATATATAACTTACAGTTATAACATTCTGAGATTTTAAGTTTTTGAGGAAAAAATGCATTTAAGTTATCAAAGTATTATGTAACAGAAACTCACATTTTAATTATATGAATCAGTATCCTATGTAGTCAATGAGATTTTTTTAGTTTTAATCGAAACTTACTAAGCAAATTATAAATTTTAACAAAAGTCCCAGTTTGACAGTGGAATCTGAAATTATACGTTACAACTTCAATAAATGATTTAAGTTAAATTCTACTTTATTCCCTTTCTTAAACATCAAAACACAGAAGCCTAGGGCCAGAACCTAGATAAAGATGTCCCGGATTTTAATCCTCTCTCTGCTGCTTATTAGCAATAACCTCGGACACATAACCTCTTTGTGCTTCCATTTCCTCATTTGTAAATTGGGGGAAATAACGGCACCCACTTCATAGGGTTTTCCATATCAAATGAGATAATGCATGTCAAATACTTAGAACAGAACTCATTGTCAAGATCTGTCAATCTAAAAGGAAAAAAAAAAAACAGTAATTGCATCATTTTTTCTTCTAAAAATAACATACTTATTGGAATGGTTGGCTAGGCAACTCTCAGGGTATTTTAACCCACTGGAAGCATTTACTGTATAGAAAAGAAAATAGATATACAAAACATGGAAAAATGTTTAAGCTTTGCATATTGCTTCCCTTGTGCTTTTAAAGCTTTCTGTAACGTTTTTCTAAATTCACCAAAAGTACACTCCACTCCTATGCTATTTACCTCAAAGACATGTGAACAATGAAATCATACCTCAACTTCTATCCAAGATGCTTGAGTGTAATGCCAAATAAAGCATCAATTCTCTTCTGAGGACCTAGTCATTTCTGCTTTTATCTGGCAAGAAG